GAGGAGGACGATGCAGACGCAGCAGTGTCAGAAAACACACTGCCATTAGACACTCTGGCAGAAGGGTTGATTACTCAGGGCTGCTTTTGACGTCTTTTATGACATGGCCACTTCTACGATATGGGCACTGAAACTAAAACAAATGGTGAAGAAGGATTGGTACCACATAGAAACATTTTGAGAGAAATGAAAAGCACAAAGCCAGGCAGAAATGTCGATGGATTTCCATCAGGTGACCCGCGCGCGCCTGCCGCTCCTGCCTCCCCGTCCACGCCCTCCACCTCTCCCGCCTCTGCCTCCCGAGACGGTGAGACCACGCCCCCTCTTCTTCCTCCTCAGCTAGGCCTCCTCAACGTGAAGACCTTGATGATTATCCGCTTCCGCTTTACAAACAGTAAATAATCACCACGCCATACAGTTAGCCAACTTATCTGTTGTGTATGAGTGAGTGTCTTCATGTGAAAATCTAATAACTACAGCAAGAACTCTGAGACATTTTTGTGTCATCATCATTGTCACAAAGCAGTCATTGTGTAGAACATCACATGCGAGACTTGTATGGAAGCAGATAGTCTATCCTCACACAGGCAGAAGGTGAGTGCTATTTCATATAAAATAATGTATTCGTTTTCTTACTGTTTTATAACTTGCTTTCAAGGAATTGCATTACAATACGGTATGCCTCCCTCTCTCATAATTGGAGAACCTGCATATCAGCTTATCATCACAGGTAAGTGGTTTTTTTGTAAATGTAACAGTGTTTCCAATACTGTATTATAAATACGACAATAATACTGTATGTCATATAAATTGCATAATAATTCATTCATTAGTGTATAGGCTAGGCTACCATGAAGCAATCATATTGTTGCTTCCTCATTATCAATAAATATAAATTTCTTTGTCACATTATCTTTTCATTTTTGACGTCTAGTGTTAATAACATGCCTAACATCTACAGTGTTTTGTAGCATATAAAACAATATTGGTGTAGATACTGACACACGATTCACCTTATAAAAAGATGATGTAAGCTTATAAAATCAATACAGTATAGTACTGTAAATGTATTTTTTCTTCCTTATGATTTCCTTAACATTTTCTTTCCCGTAGCTAACTGTATTATAATACAGTATATAATGCATATAACATATAAAATATATTAATTGACCTATATGTAAGGCTTCCGGTCACCAGGAAGCTACTGAAGTTTTGGGGAGTCAAAAGTTATATGCGGATTTTCAACAACACAGGGGTCAGAACCCCTAACCCCTGCACTGTTCAAGGTTCAACTATACTTAAATTCGTGATTTACCATAAAGCTATAGAAATCAGCACTGCGGTATTGATTTAAGGATAGACAGAGCATTGGAACAGAACAGAATCCAAATATGGACCCGCACAGAAAAGATAGTTTTGTTTTGGACAATAGTGCAAAGTCAAATCAACAGAGAAAGACAACTGTTTTCAACAAATGCTGCTACTAGGTAAGCATGTGGAGAAAATGAACTTCAACTCCTATACCTCATTCCATATTCTAACATTCATTCAAGATCCACAGAACTCTAACCATAAAAGAATCAGAAAACTTTTAGAAGAAAACACAGGAGAATCTCTCCACAAACTTGAGGAAGGCAAACATTTCTTGAAACACAAAAACTACTATTCATTAAAAAAAGTTGACAAATTTGATTTCGTTAATATTAAAATTTTCTGTTTATGAAAAGATACCACTAAGAAATAGGCAAGCCACAGTCTGGGAAAAACATATTGGTACATATGTGACAAAGGACTTAAAGAACTCCTACAACTCAATAATTAAACAACCCAATAACAAAGGGGAACAGACTGCAAAGACTGCCGTAAAAGAAGAGGTATGAATGGTCAGTAAGCACATGGAAGGGTGATCGGTATCATGAGCCACAGGGAAATGCAAATGAAAACCACCACATAGCCATCAGAATGGCTAAAATCAAAAAGACCAACCATATCAGATAGAGAGGATATCATACAACTGGAACCCTCCCATACTATGGGCACGTAAAATGATAGCACTCTGGAGAACTACTTGGTATTTTCTTACAAAGGCAAACACACATAACCTGGCAATAATTCTACGTTAGGTTGAGACCACAGAGAAATGAGAACATGTATGTACAGAAGATTTATGCAACAATGTTCCCAGTTGCCTTATTCATAATAGTCCCAAACTGAAAACAACCCAATCATCCACTGACTGGTAAATACAGATGAGTTATAGTACTTTCATTCAATGGAATACTATGAAGCAGTGATAACTTCAGAGATACTCAAGAATATAAATGAATCTCTAAAAGCAAAACGTTTGTTAAGAGAAAGAAACAAAATCAATACTATAGAATTCCATTTATATGAATTTTGCCTATGAAAAGGCAAAACTAACCTATGATGCTAGAAATCAGAAAGCAGGGATGAGATGACAAAAAAGGGTCATGAGAGAACTTTGGGGGCGGTGGAAATATATCTTATTTTAGGTAGCAGATACACTGTAAAATAAAGATTAAAACTGAAACAAAAACTTTAAATACACATATCTTGTTATATATGAATTATACTTCAACAAAAGAGCACCATTTATAGTCTTAATTCTTTATCCCCCTTCCTCACCAAAGGAAAAAAATATAGTAGATATGAATTTCATCACCAGGAAGCAAAAATGGGCTCTTGAAACATAAAATGAAAAATTAAAAGTAAAATCACTAAGAAAGTAAATCACACAGATACCCAGTGGTAGTACATGCGTATCTATTTATACTTATGGTTAAAATCTCTAGTGCATTCTTCATAATGTAGTCATTTGGCTGTGGATTTGTGGGGTTTAGTTTGCAAATTTTATTTGTTTAAGGAGAAACAGTTATTTTATACTTTAAAAAATTAAGTTCCTTAAGTCAGTTGCTAATTGTGGCTAAGGGAAATCTCATAATATCTATAGTTAATTAATGTGTATTAAATGTAGATTAATACACTTTTAATTTTAAGAAGGGAAAAGATTTATCTACTCTTTTCTCAAATGCCTCCCCAGAAATAATTAAAAATAATAGTAATGATTATAAGCTTGAATTGGAAGAAATGACAGGTATATAGCACATAGTGGCATAACTGGTTTTATAAAGCAGAGATTTGGGGAATGGGATGGGATGAACATTTTATTTTAAAAAAAGAAAAAAACTAGCGTAAGAAAAGAAAAACAACTTCAAAATGGAGGAAGAAGCAGCAGCCTGTACTACGTAGAGATAAAACATAAAGGAGGTGTCATGTGCTCCATGCTAATTCAAACTAACCGGTAGGAGCTATCTTGAATGCTGGTGAAGCTAAGGACTCCCCAGGCTGTGTTTTGGTTCAGTGGGAAAAGGGCCGTGATTGATAAGCTATGGGAAGAAAGGCAAAAGGACTCAGGTCTGCTTCGTGCTCTCCATCCCTTTCTAGTAGGGAGTAGGCAAAATTTTGCATTGCCTGGAACTTTATAGAGAACAAGGCAGAATGCAATTCGCCACAAGTCAGTTCTGAAAAATACAATTACATATACAGTATATTTTTAATTATTCTAGAGGAAATCATTTGGTATTAAAAGTTAAGTCTCCAGGGCCGGCCGAGTGGCGCAATGGTTAAGAACTGGCTTGAGACGCCAGAGGGCCCCGGTTTGGATCCCACATGTGAGGGCCAGTGACACTGCCCTCCACAGCTAAGATGCTGAACAACAGTTCAACCTGGAGCTGGGCTGCCGTGAGTCGCCGGCGACGGCGTAGGCTGCAGCCCCTGTGGCAGTGGGTTGCCATGTAGCCAGCAGCCAGCGTGAGCGGCCAGCAGCCGCAGTGAGCGGCCGTCCAGAAGCCGGCGACTGATCTGCCTCGCCCGGGAGGAGCGCAATGATGGTGCCAACTTGGGCCAGTGAAGCAACGTCCTCCACAACTAGACTGAAGAACAAAAGGACAGCAACTTGTCTGTTCCCCTTCCCCCAATTCCCCAGCACTGTTCCGATCCCCCCAATTCCCCAATAAAAATCTTTAAAAAAAAAAAAAAGTTAAGTCTCCATAGCTATATGAAGATAACTTAAAGCAAACAATAATCTTCAGTTCACTGGAAATGACACCTGGTGGCAGCATCACTAAAATGCAAGGGCAAAATAAAAAGGGGGCAAAACTAAAAATCTCTTAAATGGTAAAAACGCAAAAGTACAATCACATGGTATCTGTTATATACATGTCATATACAATCACATATTTATGCATTAGATTCATTGTACACTAAAACAAACTAATACAAAATACATGATTATTTTCAGATTTATAAAACAAAAGGGTAAATCAAGATACAAAACTGCCACTTCTCTATGAAACTGACATAGTTTAGGCATCCGAAAAACAGTTCTCAGATAAAAGAAAATCACTAAAACAAGCCTAATGTTTTAAAAACCTCACTTTTAAAGATTTTAGAGGTGTGAAATTCCTGCTAACCATATCATCAAGCTAGGAATATAAAATCGATCAAAGGACCATCTAGTCAGTTCATATTCTTGTCACATGTTGCTTAAGTCAAAAATCTTTTTCTTCCATCTGAACTAAAAAAAAGCCATTTATTGCAATTATGACTTCTGTTCACAGCTGCAGTATTGTTAACTGTGAATTCACTATATATGCAAGTTGTGAGAAACAAAGGTCAAACCGACTGATCCCACTGCTGAAACAAGGCTCGGTGATTTGATCAGCTGTCTCAAAAGGCAGACATACAGTTTTCATAATGTAGCCTGAGAGAGAACTCTGACCATTAAGCAAACACTGGTCCATACAGATAGATCAGGTCAAACTATGTCCTGCTTTTGAAGAAAATATATACATCCCTAAGTTATTACTGAAACTGTTAACTCTAACATTGATTTCAAGTAAATATGAAATGAACTATAAAAAAGACAGCTCTAGTGAAAGAAATAATAAAGGCTCAAAATAAACATTTCCCTATTTTACCCGTTTTCCATCTTTGGTCTTCTTTAAGTTCCAAGTGCCATCTGGCAACTTCTCAAAGAACTTTCTTGCTTTTGGTGCCTGGTCAAGAATATGAGCAGGTGGAATACCCAGAACTTCCACTATTTTATTCATCTGATCTACCTGTATAGGAATAAAGACAAAAACATGTAATCTCACTGTATTTCTGAAACTGATGTTGAAAAAGATTGTATGTCAACTATAATTATATATACATTTAGTCTCGGGACATGGAATAGAGAGGGGGAATGGAACCAATGGAATTGTAATAGATAAGCATGATATCGGGGGTGGGAGGGCAGTACATGGGGGGAGGGGGGTTGTTATTCTGTGAGGGTGAAAAGGATAACTATTGCATTGTTCTGTACACCTGAAACTAACAATAAAACAAACAAACAAACAAACAAACAAAACCATGTAATCTCTACTGTCGTCCATCTTACTTCTGCTCATAAATTTGCTCATTCATTCCTTCATTCATTCATAAGTTATAAGTAAACTTAGTATCTCCTGTGTGTCAGGCACTGAGTACACAATAATGAACAAAAGAGATAGTCCCTGCCCTCTTGAGAGCCCAACATCTCAGAGGGGAGGGCAGACAATTAAATAAACACATAAATCTGTGGTGTGTCAGGTAGTCATGGAGACAAAGGAGATAAAGGAACAATTGGAGGGAGTTTTAAAAGTTTAAGTTGTTGGAGAGTTTTAGTTAAATAACCATCAAAAGAAAAGCCCAGAAGATTAATAAAGTGTAGCTCTAACAAACCTTTTTTTAAGTACAGATTAATTCACTCAAACACCAAGTGTCTACATATGCTGGAAACCGTGCTCAGTAGAATACAGCAATAAACAAAACAGACAAAAATCCCTGCCAAAAAGTTTATATGATGGGGAAGAGATCCCCAATAACAAATACATAAATATACTATGACACATGACAACTGAGAACCATGGAGAGAATGACAGGGGTGGGGAGTGAGAAGGAGCACTGAGACTTAAAACAGCGTCGTGCAAGGGTCACTAAGACAGTGACCTGAGAGCAAAGGCTGAAAGGCAGTGAGGGGAGCAGCCCAGCGCTGCTATCTGGGGAAAGAGCATTTCAGGCACAGGAAGAAGGAACGCCAAGCCCTTGGCATTGGCCTGTGGCTACTGTTCCCAAGGAGCCACACAGAAGGCTGTGTGCTGGGTCAGAGAGAGGGAGACCAGGGGAGGCGAGGAGCAGGGAACAGGAGTCCATGGAAGGAAGGGCTTTCCAGCCACTCAAACAGCTCTGGCTCCTACAAGGACTGAAATAGAAGCCACTGAAGTTTCAGGTGATCCTACTATTGTTTAAGCCCATGAAAAGATATTAATTTATAGTAATAGTATTTATATTAAAACAGACACACACACACACACGCACGCACGCACGCACGCACGCACGCACGCACGCACATTATTGCAGCTACAGCCCAACAGTCGCTCTACCTAGTAACAGTTGTATATCCCCTTATGAGCCATTAAATTTTGTTGGTCTTTCTTTTCTCATTTATAAATGAATGGACTGACCACGATCTGGAATGATTAACTTTTCTTTAAAAATAAAAAAATCCCACAAGCAAATAGTTTAAAACCAGTGAAAGCCCAACTGCTCTGACTGCCAGAGAATCTGGTCCCTCCTTTGCCCTCCCAGACACTGCCCTCTGGCTGTCAAAAATCTTCTAAGAACACAGACAGAAAATCTGTGGACTAGAAGAATGGCACATAGTCTGCAGCTCTAAAATTCTAGAATCCTAATTTACTCTAAAATTATTTAGATCGAATTCCCATCAACCCTACTGGTCATCACTTCTTAATTCCAAATTACACTCTCAAAATTTATAGTGACGTTTATATTGTTTTCAGGGTGGCCCTCATTGCTTCGTTATCAACTTTTTCTGTTATACTTAAAATCTGTAAACTTTATACAAAAATATTTCACATTTTCTAATCCACTTTATTATTCTCCTTCATTAGCAGATTAAAAGATCTCACTTTCCATTTTATAATTCTAGTCTTAACATTATATGATAATTGAAAAAATGGACAATATACATTCAAAACTAACCTAACGTTTGAATGATTAAGTTGGTAAATAGACATCTTTTCCTAAAAACAACTTTCAAATTACACTGTTAAAGATTAAAAACAAAAAGAAATTATGAAAATAGAAACAATTTTTAAAGCAATCTATCATATACCTCATTGGCTCCACTGAACAGAGGTTCTCCAGTGTGCATTTCAACCAAAATACACCCAAGGGACCACATGTCGATAGCAAGATCATAAGGCATTCCCAGTAGCACCTCTGGAGACCGGTAAAAGCGACTCTGAATATACTGGTATATCTGAAATATATTTTAAAATAGTATTAATTCCAAAATAAGTTTTCTTTAATTGTGGTCAACACTAGGTTAAGAACATAGATCTAATATTAACAGAAACACCTAAATTAGGGTTGCATTTACTGATTTCAACATTAGACTATGAATATTATTTCAAGAACTAAACATGACCCCCTTTACCCTCTTCTACAATCCCCCCCACCCCTTACCCTCTGGTAACCACTCAACTATTGCCTATGAGTTTTTGTTTCTTTGTCTTATTCCTTTGTTCCTTTCAGTTCTATATCCTACATATCAGTGAAATCATATGGGTCTCGACTGTTTCTGTCTGACTTATTTTACTTAGCATAATAATCTCAAGATCCAAGCATGTTGTCGCAAATGGCACTATTTCATCTTTTCTCATGGCAGAGTAGTATTCCATTGTATATATATACCACATCTTCTTTACCCAATCATCTATCGAAGGACACTTTGGTTGTACACTTGAAATCTATGTAATTTTACTAACCATTGTCACACTAAAGAATTTTAATTAAAAAAAAAAAAGAGAGAACATGTAAAGCGAGTGGTTAATCCAACTGAAACGCAAAATTTATAAAATGCAAGTCCTTTCATTTAGTCCAATCCTAACTGGTAAATCACGATATATCTTAAAACAATTATGCCTTATTAGGAGAAAATATTATTGAAAATAATTTAGTTCCTTATATTCTTTCTTGGTATGGCTGGCACTTAATTTGCCATGAATTCAAGAGCTAAATCGTATTTACATTAACCTTCTTTAGGTTAACTTAGGTTAGAATGTATTTCAGCATTAAAAATCAAATAGAGGGCTGGCCGAGTGGCTCAGTTGGTTAAGAGCTCGCTCAAGGGTTTGAGCTCTGAGCAACAGCGGTTCGAGTCCAGCCCGAGCTGAGTTGCCGCTGAGCTGCCAACAGGTGGCAGGATGGCTCAGCTAAAAAACATCAAATAAACTCGGTACAATGTACTATCACAGATAAATCCTAGAAACGTTGCCATATAAAGATTCAATTGCGAATCACGTCTCTGCCCTGTCCCCCTCCTGCCTCAATCTAAGATTTCTTAGAAAAAGAAACTCTTGAAATGGATTCTTTTCAATGAAGTACTCTGAAAATGTCTCGAGAGACCAATTCATCCTCACTTAGCCCCTACAAGTTTACATCGATTAAAGCAAGCATCAGTAAAGCAAAGAAAGTTTTATTTAAAAAGACAGAAAGAAACAAAACCCTCTTAACTACCTAACTTCACATGCAAACCAGGCAGCCAGCAGCATGGTCTTTTTCTGCTTTCTCACAAAAGCTTCTGAGGCTTCCACCTACAACTCCAGCCAAGTCTCCAAGAATAATCTTATGCCTCCATAAGCAGGTCAAGCCAACCTTAAGGCCTTCTCAGTGTGAAGAAAGTCTAATTCAAAGGCACCAGGAAGAAGTATTACCTTTCCAAGTTTTTACAAGCCAATAGCCTTGTTAAGCCTCAAAGACGCCCTGCTGCTGAGATGGTCGTATTTCCCACCTGATGCAAGTTAGTCACCTCCACATCCAGTGTGATTACCGCAGTGACTGGGTCACCTACAAGGCTGTGCACCAGAATCCTGAGAGACTTTGTCGGAAACACTTGCCCTGCCACCTTCTGATACTGAGCCAGGAGATCTAGGGTAGGGCCACTGCGTGTGTATTTTGGAAATGACTTCCCAAAAGATTCTGATACACTCATGTAGTTAAAAACGCACTGAACTAAAGGGATAGCTCTCTCAGTTTGGCTGGAGATAGCAGTGTTTGATATTAAGACAGAGCATATGATTTGGTTTAAACAGGAAACATTTTTTTCCAAATCTAAAATCTACCCAAATGATTCCCAAGACGGGCATGTATTTTCCAGTCATAATACACACTTTATCCCACATAAAAGCTATGAATGAGCATGTCTTAATTTTCAGAGGCATCTGAAACAGCAAACTTTGCTTACTATGCCTTCAATTTAAAAAAATTATTTCAATAATCTATATAGCATTGCTGCCATAAGATTATATGCAGAAAATAACCAAGTCAGACAATCCTGTTAGCTGCTGTAACATTCAAGATTAAATTCACCTGCTGTATTTAAAACCCAGAAAACAGTTGGACAGCACAGGAAATCGCACTAATTTGGAAACACAAGAAATGGAAAGCCACTATGAAACAGTAGTATTTAAATGTCAGTGTGTCCCCTCCTTTTTTTTTTCAAAGAAATGCAGTTTCAATATTTTCAAGTGAATAGAACAGTGTTTAAAATGAGTAAAATATTATCAAATGGTGATCCTAATTCTTTTCAAGTAAAGAATAACCTATAATTTCTATTTTACAAATAAAACACACTCTTCAGAGTAATACTAGAACTAATGCTGGAAAAAACAGTAGGAAAAATTTCCTGTCCTAAATAGCTAAACTTAAATCTATTTTCTGCTACAGACATGTCTGTTTTTAGCAGTCTGAAGAAAACCAGTTTCGACAACCATCAAAATTTATATGAGGAAAATAAACTTATTTTTCAAAAGAAATATGTCTATCAACTGTGTAATTTCTATACTATATACCATGTGTGATGCAAAATTACCTGCATTTCTTTTACCCAACAGTTTTTGAGGAAAAACATTTATCTTGATCTATATTTTACAGCAATGATTCAATGTTCTAGTACTAGAATTTTCCCCAATTTATACTAAAACCTCTATTTGGGAAATACAGTTACAAATCATCTAATATTTAATTCACTCATCTCCTATTCTCTTAGTCTTTGAACATACATATAATTTTTTAAAATCCCCTTTGAAAAACCAATACCTTCCAATTCAAAGTATTACTATTTGCACTTTAAAAGGTATTTCCCTAAATTAGGTATCAACACAAGGTGCTACATTTTAAAGTTAATCACCCTGTAATTACTTCCAAATCGTATACACATTAGTAACATTTCAAGGGTCTACCTACACTATTTTGCCTAATTCTATTTAGTTCACAAGTCCTGAAATGTACTTACCCTCTGCCCCAATTGACAAGAACTGCCAAAGTCAACGATCTTGATTGCACTGCGTTTGGGGTTGCAGAGAAGGATATTCTCAGGTTTTAGGTCACAGTGAATGATACTAAGTTCTGGAGTCGCAAGGAAAAGCAGTGCAGTGCACATCTGCTGTGCAAACTTTCGTGTTAGGTTCAAAGAGACACCTCGAAAATTGGTGTTCCGCAACAAGTCATAGAGGTTGTAGGACAGCATTTCAAAAACTAAACAGAGATGGTTTCGAAACATAAAGTGGCGTTTCAAATGCACTGAAAGAGAAAAAAAGTTTCATTTTAAATTTCACATAAACCAATAAAATGAGAATAACGTATGCATAAACTCTCAAATAATCTGTAACATTACAATGTCAAATGCAGAGTGAAAATCAAGTTAAAATTGGAAATCAGCACTCTGCAGTAACAGCACATTCTTTAATCAGTTAAGAATATCTAAATTGTTCATCTGCTGAATTAAACAGGTGCAGTGTCTGCCAGTAAGCAATATAATTTAAGAAATACCACCAAAATACCTTGTGGTTTTTTTTTTTTAATAAGTCAGATATGAAAACATGAGTAGCAAACTGACAAACAGTACTGAGAATGCTTCGGTAACTTTATCCTCATTTGTAACAGAAAATGCTTTCTACTTCCTGAGAGCCCTACCTCACAATGGCATCTAAGTCACGCCCACCAGGATCTCTGGTTGGTGATAATGCTGTCCTTGGCCGCCCTCTCTGGGAAGGCTCTGATATATACACAATCTGCTTTGCTGAGCCTTAGATTTCACTAGTAATTTTCTATAACAATTGTCAAAGGCAAACATAGATTTTTTTTTCTTTTAGGCAAATATAGCAAGGTTTGAAAATCATGCTTTCGAAGTTATTAGAGTTCATAATCACAGCATTTGATTATGTTCATCAAACTGGTACATGGGACACCTGGTGTAAGACTGAAGGGTTGGGAAAACTTCAAAATAACACTCAATCACAATAAGAAATTATAAGAAGCCTTATGAATGGGGAAAGGGAACACATTACTTGTTATCACTGTTGACCCCCTAAAAAGGCTTAATATTCACTTGCTAAATTGCTTCAAAGATTGTGCTTTAATTAACACTGATTTCACTTCAGATGAGGTCATTCAATAAAGTGCTGCCCTTTACTATAAAATTCTTACATACACCAAACATGCACCTGTAACTCAACTGGAATGACATAAAACAACCATTTGTCAAGGTTATCTTCATTTCTGCCTTTTAGTATCCTCACAACAGAGCTTTCTCTACAGAGCTATCTGGAATAATTATGACCGGAACACCAATGACAGTATTCAATGTGTGGTCCCTGAGGATGGGACTACACTGAGCTGTCCTGGTAGCAGTCCTGACTGGCTCCCCGGAGCAGTGAACATCAATATTGCTTTTAGATCACTCCTGATACGCATGACCTAAAATCAAGATAAGTAACAATACGAACACTACATGGCTCCATGGGAGTCTGTAGCACATCTCAACACTCTGCAAATAGTAAAAAGAGTCCTTAAAGGTTACATAAAAGTATAACCTTATCTTCTTAATTACTGAAATTCATGGGTTTAAAATTAAAAACAGCTCCATGTGATAATAAGACACCCCACAGACACAGTCTATGCAAGAGTTTTAATATGGTAAAACGGCAGCCACAAATGGAATGCAAAAGGTAACTGATGTCAGAAGAATTCCAATGCGATGATGAAAATCCCTCTAAGAAGCTCTGTGATTAGAATGTTCTTCCCATGGGATATCAACCCACTCGGCTCTACTTGACCTTCCTATGCAGTGCTCATTTACTGAGTATCTACAACGTGGTAAGCACTAAAGACACTGCCAAAGAAAGCTCAAACACAAGTATATTTGTTTAGAGTTTTTAACTGAACTTTGGGGAGCATGGAGGTTTGGTAAGACTTTGCTCTACACCTAAAATGAATTTTCTTTTAACCAGACCACGGCAGGTACCAAATAATCCAGGTAAGAAATAATGCTACATGGTCAAGTAGCAGATTTTGAAAGAGTTCAAAGACATAAGACTTAAAAAACATCAGAATAAACTACATTAATCAATTACTTCAAAACATAAATTATTGGGGCCGGCTGAGTGGCACATTGGTTAAGAGCTGGCTTAGGACACCAGCTCTGAGCAGCAGGGCCCCGGTTCGGATCCCACATGAGGGCCAGTGATGCTGCGCCCTCTACAGCTAAGATGCTGAACAACAGCTCAACCTGGAGCTGGGCTGTCGTGAGTCTTCGGCGACGGAGTAGGCTGCAGTGAAGCTGCAGTGGGCTGCCATAAGCTATTGTGTGTAGCCAGCAGCCAGTGTGAGCGGCCAGCAGCCAGTGTGAGCAGCCATCCAGAGGCTGGCAACGGATCTGCCTCACCCAGGAAGTGCGCAATGATAATACCAACATGGGCCAGCGGAGCAACATCCTCCACAACTAGACTGAAGAACAAAAAGGACAGCAACTTGTCTGTTCCCTTTCCCCAATTCCCCAACGCTGTTCCCGTCCCCCAATTCCTCAATAAAAATCTTAAAATAAAAACTGTAATTATGCCTAAAACATTAAAAAACAAAACAAAACAAATTATTTACTTCTTAAAAGAGCAATACGACTTTCAGACACTTTAAGGTATCAACTCTACTGGCATGGCTGTGTCTAATTCTAAAGTTCTTCTGTTGTTTTCCTATATACTATAGAACCTCGGTTGCCTAAAACACTGTATAACAGAACTTAAAAAAAATATGTAATATACAATCAAACAAAATGACAGCCATACTATACAGAACTGAGTAGCTAACATTTATTGAATACTTACTATAAGCCTGACATGTTTTCTTTCAAAAAGGCAGAATTAAAATATTACAGCAACACACCAACGTATTCTCTAATGCTTAAGCAAACACTCAAAATACAACACACAAGAGTTAGAAGGAAGAAAGGGGGAGACATGTCCAGCGACCACTTTATAAGTCAAGCATCCTTAGAATGTCCTTCTTGTGTTTCCAAGCCCCTTGTATAGAAATGGGCTCAGTTTATACTAAGTTATAATCACAGCAAATAGCAAAAGTTTGGTAAGCGTGAAGAGAAAAAGTTTTAAATACAAATGTTATTACTATGGATTATATGAGAGAAGAAACTAAGGGGGAAAAAGTAATAGTGTAAGCTCATTTTGTTGTACAATAGGGGATGACGGGTGTTTCACAAATGAAATCTAATCTGTGTTTCTTAACCTTACACCTTAAACGTCCATTTTTTGTTTCCACCATCATTGGGGGACTAGAGAACTATAATACCCTTCCTTATTTTCTTAAAAAGAAGTCTGCTAAATAAAATGTAACCTCATGTTTATCAGGTAAAGCCAGCATTTCTGAACATGAATTGCTATGTACACATGCCTACAGAAACTTCTCTAAATGAACTGGTTCTAGCTTACATTTATACTTGACAGCAATTTGTTCCTTGGTAGCACATAAAATAATGGTGTCTTACAATCACTGGCATCCTAGATTTGATTAATAGTATTAAAGAAGGTATAATTAGAAGATATTTTGCCCATATACCAATTGGTCCCATACCTCACTATTTTCCTAATTCTTTTGTCTCCTTTTTTTGTTTTCAGAGGAAACAATGAAACAAACACAGGCTCTGGGGTTAGGCAGAGGTAGGTTCAGATCCTAGCTCCAGAGCGCTGAGACCTTGTATAGGTACTCTGGGCCAAACCATCTGTGATACAAAGATTCTATCACCTTCCTTACAGGACTGCTATGATCCTTATAGATGATGGAAGAAAAGCACAAATAATACGGCAGGAGTTCAGTAAGTGGTGGCTGTCAAACTGGCAGCCTGCGCAGGAGCCTGAGATCTTGGCTCAGACATTCCAAAAATGGTTCTATAACCATTAATAACATATTAGCTTACTTCCAACTTCTGAGCTATATGAGAAATGGTTACCAGAGAGAGGACGCTCTGGATCAATATGCATGATTAAAGCAAACAAATAGCACTTGTAAAGTTTCGACCCCTCCAAAAAAAGACACTGTTCTTATTTGTTTCTAAATCGTACACCACCTGGAATGCAAATACTTAGAATATTGCTGCCAGATCGGGTAACTTATATAAATCTATGCCCTCCAACAGAAATCAACCGTTAAATTTTTAGTCAATCACTTTAAGATAAAATCGACATATTTTTTACAAAAATAATCATTAACTCAAAATTTCTGGTTGGGTTAGGGCACCCTGCTTTGTTTGCCTGTTTGCTTACCTATGTAGTATTTCATTTCAGTGTCATGTTTGTTCATGAGCTCAAGAAGACGCACTTCTATCTGGGCTTGATTCAGAAAAGCCTTCTTGTTCTTTATGATTTTAATGGCAACCCACTCTTGCTCCACACGATCATATGCCTTTACAACCTGAAGGAGAAGAAAGAGGAATAGTTCTATTTCATCAATGGCAACAATTTCACAGTTTACAATTCACCTTAACTGTCCATTGACCTAACTCTCATTTTCTGACCTTCCTAATTAGAAGAGATCCTATTCGTTTCCATTCAACATCATGCATTTACTACTTACAATCAATTGAATTTCTTTTGCATCTTTATATATTTCTAAATATTCCCAAAAAGAGAACTTATCGAAAAAAATTGGATTAACTATTTTCCTCCTTAAAAAATAAATTATAAATCTTAACAAGTACTTTGGTTTTTCACCTTTCTTACTAAATAACATTATAAGACAATCTTCCAACTATTCTTTTAATGGAAATAAAACGTAGAGCACTAGAGTACTAGAGTAAAACATTAAAAAAGTTGTAAAGTCACCTGAAAAATGTAGGTAACTTTCTAACTTTAAATTAGATTTTCATAAATAAAAACATAGGTAACAGAAGGATTAGTTTATACTTTAAAAAAAATCAAATACAGGGGCTGGCCGAGTGGCTCAATTAGTTAAGAGCTCGCTCAAGAGTGCGAGCTCTGGGCTGGTCGAGTGACGTGTTGGTTAAGAACTGGCTTGGGATGCCAGAGGGCCCCGGTTCGGATCCCACATATGAGGGCCAGTGACACTGCCCTCTACAGCTAAGATGCT